GTATTATCTAAGTAATAAGCATGCTTAGGCAAGATTAAAACTTTTAAACTATGGTATCTGCAAATTTGATATGGATTTTGCCAGATAGGAATATGGAGAGAATGCAAAAATGTCTACCTTCACAAAGAGAAAAGCAACTGGCACGAAAAGCTATAAACAATAGGTAAAGGAACACAAACATTCACATTTTAACACAGACCAAACAGACAAGCAGGGACTTGCTGGCCAAAGATATCTCATATTTTCACTTCTCTGTTTTTAAAGTATCAGGAAGTTGGGCAGAGTATCAACTCTCCTCTATACTCTATAGTTTGCCCCATACTGTTCTTGGCTAGCCTGCTCCCAATTCAAACAGGCATTTCCAACCAATCCTAATTAGATTGAAATTACAGTTACAATTCATTTATTTCGAATCTCTTAATCTTCGAATGTTTCAAAGAAGGCTGTGGAGTGGAACACTGAATTCAGCCAAGATGACATTTAATGCATAGCTGGGGGCCATGATCTTGCCGCCAGAAACATTACTTATTTCTTTTTTTATGAAAAGCATATTACAATCAGCATTCAAGGTCTCTGAACTTCTTTGCTGAAGGCATGTTTATGCCTCTGGACTCTGGTGTGCCAGGGCCTAAACAAACTGCAATATTATAGTATACAGAACCTCTCCTAAGTCATCCAAACAGCTTTGTAGGCTGCTTCTGTAAATACTGGGTAGCATGGATCAAGCTTAGGATTTTTCTCAGTAGCAAAAATATATACCTCTCCTATGCTAAAATAAAGGTCTTCTATGGGAGGGAAGACAGTGAATAACAGGATGGGAGTCCAGAAATGAACAATTACCATCATTTTTATCTATTTTAAAGAAAATTCATGATTTTGAATGTCTCCTTAGTTCTGAAGAATAAAGCAGAAGATTTACTTGTAGAATTGCAGAGGATTTCTTAAAGAGGGACTTAAATGCTCTTTTCATCAAACACCATCAGACTTTATAATTGTTTCCCATTTTCTCTTTATCACGAGGAATATAATTCTTTAAGGATTAAATTCCTATAGAGATTGTCTGAGACTTGCTTCACCTCTAAATTTTAGAGGAATAATTCTTGCAGAAACTGCTTGGGTGGTATTAGTGGTTAGTGAACTCAGTGCAGCCCAGGGCCCACAGTAAATAAAGCCAGGACACAGGCAGATTCTGAAATTGAACCGGCTTTTACCTCCCATCCTTGCATTGGTTCTCACACTAGAAATTCTGGCTACTTTTTCAGCCACGCAGTGAGCAAATCTCCTTGAAGAAGGGGCCGCTCTTCTCTGGATCTGGGGTGGTGACGGATAGCAAGCAAGTGGTCTGATTTCTCTGCTGCCTTTTTCTTTCCCAAAAATGTTCTCAAGAGACACACTCAAACTCTTTTCAAAAGCTCTACACCTTGACCTTGTAATAGCTAATAGGCTATCATTCAGTAAAACAAATTCAGATTTTTGTGACAGTAAATTATCCAAAGTTGTGCTTAAAAGGAAACCTCTATGGTTATTATGATTTCTGCTAAAAAAGAATTCCCTGGTGGCTCCTGAAAGCAATCTGTATAGTTAGTTTTTCAACCCTTTAGAAGAAAATAATATTTTCATAGAGTAGCTCAAGATTTTGCATGGTTCCAATTCCTGAAGACTTTTCATTAATCATTGAGTGTCTCGGTGAGTTGGGGCGTGGGCTCCCTGGCAGGACAGAGCTCAGAAGAGACCTGACTTCCCCCCAGAGGAAGCCACAAATCCCTTAGCGTGATTAGGGTACAGGGGTGCCTGGCTTCAAAGGCCCTTGGGTAGACTATCAGCCTATCCACTCTGCAGCCTTATCTGACAGTGAACCCAGGCCCCAGCCCCAGTCCCCTCTCAGTTACTGCGAGCTGAGGAGATCCACCAGCTCGGGCCTGTTTACATAAATGATTAGAATCATTTAAAATCCAAATGGACTCCCAAACCCAAATCTAAATAAATGGAGAAAGGAAGGAAGAGTCTAGTGGCTGCTCTCTTTACCCTGACTTCCACTGCCCTTAAAAAAAAAAAAAAAAAAAAAAAAAATCTATCAGACAGCTGAGTGGAAAAGAACTTGTATAGAAGGCCAATTGCAAATTGCTTTTCTATTATTTTAAAAATCACCATTTAAGTCTGGAAAGTGATAAAGCTTAAAGAACTCTGACAGCACCTTTTTTTTCAAGGAACGTTATTCATTGTAGTTAGATCAAGATCTGGCTAAGGCCTGTAAAAAGCTTATATTAAATTAATTCCCCTTTAAAGGGGAATATTATTTAACTTTTTTAAAAAAGAGTAACTTATCTTTAGAATCTGCATCCCCAACCTTCATTAGCCTTTTAAATGAACAGGAAATGACCGCACTGATTGTACTAAAAAGCTACACTTAAAACAAAACAAAACACCAAAGACAGAACAGAATCCCCACCTCAGAAATTAAATTCCTACTACTGTGTGTTGCCAGGGTAGTCGGGGGATTGTTTAAAAGCGCTGGAGGTTGTTTATATATCCCTCTTGAAGGCCAAGGTTTTAAAAGTCAGCTCAAAGCTAGGGCAAGATCCCTGGTGAAAAGTGACCGCAGAACTGGGCTGCTCGCTGAAGCGGCCGGGTCTATGCTGCCCCCTCGTCTAGCAGCAAAAGCGGAGGTTTGGATCTTCTTGCTCCTAGAAGATACCTTGTCACCTTTCGCAGCCCCGGGCTTAATCTAGGTGAGCCAGCGATAGCGTCCAGGAGGATTACAGGAAAAGAAACAGGGTTTCTTTCTTTGACTTCTGGCAGGAGAAAGCTAGTGGCTCGCAAAACTCAGAAAACTTTTGCAAACTTAACTACACCCGCCGCGGTGGACTTTGGACATGCTAATTCCTCCTGGGCGGTTAAGAAGGGGGGGAAATCCCTGACAATTCCTAACGCTGGTTTATTTTATTTATTTATTTACTTATTTATTTATTTACTTTTACTGACCGGAAGGTATGAAAGCATCTGTATTTTATTTCCGGATGCCTTCATCTGAGAGAAAAACTGGTGTAAGTGTTAATGCAGAAGTGGTGGAGAGCCGTGGGGAAGCAGAGGGCTTGTCCCTGCTAAATAGAACGTTTCCTGCTTCGTATCAAAGGTGAAGCTGGGTACCGACACTCTGTATCAGAGGCAAAAGCGGTCCCGGTGGCCCTGAGTGGGGTATCTTGGGGGAATCCTGATTAGCCCTGCGTGGATGCTGCGTGCAGGCTGAAGCGGGTCCCGCCCGAGGGTCGCCACGGCAACACAGCATCCCCGCATCCCAAGCACAGGGAGAAGGACCAGGGGCGACCAGGGGGCAGTGCCAGTACAGTCAGCCCAGCCCCTGTCCTCCCGGATCACCCCGGGCACTCGCGGGCTTCTGCCAGTCCTCCCACCACCCACCCGCTCTCAGCCCAGTACCTTGAAAGCGATGGGCAGGGTCTTGTTGCAGCGCCAGTGCGTGGGGAGCACAGAGCAGAGGAAGTTGGGGCTGTCGGTGCGCACCAGCTCGCCGGGGTGGTCGGCCAGCACTTCCACCATGCTGCGGTCGCCGTGGCACCGCCTCGCTCATCTTGCCCGGGCTCAGCGCGGTGGAAGGCGGCGTGAAGCGGCGGCTCGTGCTGGCATCTACGGGGATACGCATCACAACAAGCCGATTGAGTAAGGACCCTGCAAACAGCTCCTACCAGACGGCGACAGGGGCGCGGATCTTCAGCAAGCAGCTCCCAGGAGACCAACATACAAGTTCAAGGGCCTTTATTACAGCGGGAGGCCTGCGGGAGGGCGGGGGACTACCGGAAAGTTCTACTTAGGCCGATCGGCTTCAGGCCTGGGCAGAGCTCCTACCAACCAACCGCCCGCTTAGTGCATTAAAAATTGGGCGACTAGAATCCAAAGTTAAAGGCCAAAGGGAGACCGCCTTCTTGAGTCTTGCTTTGGGAGGTTAAGTTCAGTCTCTGGCTATTACAAAAGTTCCAGGAGGCAAAATTCCCGTAGACTCCCTACAGTATGTATGCAGCGAGCAAAACAACCAGCAAATACATGATTTGGAAGTTCCAGTAGTTAATCGCCTGTCAGTTACTGTTATTATTGCTGCAGGTGAGTTTTGTCTAAAGTCCAAACAGAACGCAAAACTCGGGAGTGCCTTCCACACAGGGCGCCCCTTTTATCATGAAAAGCCGGCTTCGGTTCTCAAAATCAAGAGCTGCGACTTCCAAAGGTTGTGCTATTAATGTATGTGCACGTATATATAAATATATACATACGCTCTACTTCATGAAATATTTACAATACAATCTGTAGAGAATTTAAACACAACAGAAATCCATTAATGTTCGCTGCGGATTTTTTTTTTTTTTAAATAGCCTTGAAAATCAGCTTCAGTAGTTGGAAGAGGGCTGGGCTAGAATTACTTGTCATGTTCTGTTAGTAAATTCTGGCAAAACGCTCAGTGCAAAAGAAACTCAGCTTTTCAAAGATCTCTAACTAATCTTTAAAAATAAAAAGTCCAAAGTGATGGTACTAAAGTACAGATCTCCACATCTGAGAACTCTGGGGATGTTGGTTAAGTTTGCGGCTCTCCTGTGGTTTGCGGGAGTTGAGGTGTCTCGAGTCACACGCACGCAGACACGCACTCTTCCGAGTCCAGCCACTGTCTACAATGGGCTCAGTGAGTCAGTCCCGACTCGGGCAGCAGCGAGATCTTCCTCCTACGTCGCCCAGCACCGGCGGTCTAGCTGCTCCACCTCACCGATCCGCAGGAGCACCGTGTCACCGCAGCAGGTGGAGCGGCCCGGAAAGGAGACTCAGCCGCGCAGGTCCACACTGACCCCGGGGCTCGAGTTACACGCGCGCGCGCACTCCCCACGCGCACGCAACTTCGCGGCTCGCCTCGAACCACAGAGCGGTCTCTCTCGCAGTTGTCCAAAGAAAAAAAAAATCAGGGGAAAAAAAAAAAGTTAACCAAGACAA